AGGTTCTGGGGGCAGGGACCACCCCACGGACACTGCTGCCTCCCCCCCAGCTGCAACTGAAGCACCGGGCCGACCCATGAGTGGCAGCAAACCCAGAAGCTTCTTACTTGGTAGGTCAAAAGGTGTGTATGGCCCTTCGTGGTCATCATCGTCATCGTCTTCCTCCTCCTCCTCATCGTTCTCGTTGTTCTCGTTATCCTCGTTCTCGGTCTCGGTCTCGTTCCCAGCCTCGGCCACGTCCTCGTCCCGCCGTGTGCCATTCACGCCCCGCTCGGCCGCGTTGCTGGGGCCCGTGCCGTTCTCCACCACGTGCTTGATGGGGATTTTGATTGCGACCTCGGACTCACCGTTGGTGTACGTCCTGCTGTTGATCAGCCTTTGTCTCTGTAAATACAGGCACAAACTCTTGCTGAAAGACAGATTTTTTTTAAAAATTAAATTTTTTAAAGAGAAAGGGAGGAACAGAGAAGGAGAGACGTGCAGAGTTCTTTAAAAAATTGGATTTAAAAGCAAAAGGGATGAGTTTTGGTCAGGTATGATGTGATGCTCTGCAGATGACAAGATAAATCTCACATATACAACTTTTCTAAGAGAAGGAGCAGTGGCTGCAGAATTGCAGGAGTACTCCAAGGCCAGACTGCGTGCAGACTCAGTGGAGTACCACTTTATTAAATATGTGACAGCAATATTAATGTCAGATCAATGCAGGGGGCACCTCCTGTGAGCAAAAGCCACAGTCAACACAATGACCTGAAACTTCCTCTGCTAAAACCTCCATGGGGCCAAGCAGAAAGGGCTGATTCAGTAAAGTCCAGCGTCAGGATAAAATGTGGGAAAACGCTCTCAGGGATCCAGAAAAGCCACAGGAGTTCCCCTCTGACCCAACCACTGCTGCAGGAAAAGGCAAGGTCAGAAGGAGAGGGGAGAGGGAAGACACACCTCGTTGATCAGCATGCGGCTGGCCATAGACAGACGTGTCTTGGGAGGGAAGTGGCTGGTTATCATGATCCGGAGCCCAGCCTCGGAAAACGAGAGCTGGTGTGGGTAGGCAGACAGCAGCTCGTCCACCATGATCACCGAGGCCTTGCGGTGGAAATTCCCTGCAGACACGGAGCAAAGAGAAATGGAGGTTTTCTTCCAGCTGTCTCTATCTCTGCCCTTCTCTCAGAACAAAGCACAGGGTTCAAAAGAACCATTCCTTCAGCTCCCACTATTCACAATACGCTGCCTCTGTCCCCAGTTTCTGTCTTTACATGTCCCAGATTTCTGTCTTTATACAAATCGCCAACATGGTATCCCACCCATGCTCACTATGGAGAATTAAATCCACTCTGCGCAGTTCAACACAGCCCCACATCGGGCAGATCTCTGCTTCCACAGCAGCTGCTCCACCAAGGCAGAAACGGTGCTGCAGGAAAGCGGTGTTAGCTCCACTGCTAAAACCTGCACGGGGAGGATGCTGGCTTCCCCCACCATTAACGTCACCTCTGGGGGCACAGCACAGCACCCACCCTCCCTGTGTCAGGATGCCACCCCAGGCTGTGGATTTTGGGCCAGGGCTGGGACTTGGCAGCAGGGAAACCAGAGGTGTTCCCCGACACATCTCCGCTTTGGTCTGTTAAATCAAGGCTGAACACTGCTCCATGCTCCGTGACGTTGCCATTTATTACCATCACTGTTAGTCTTACAGAGCAGCATTTCCTTTTCTCAGTGTCACTTCTTTTTACTCTGACTGAGAGGGTTTCCATGGACTGGGGTAGATAATTGGAGTCATCCATATTCAATAAAATCAAGCAGAGGGAGAGTTTTTCCTTGTGACTTTTTCCAGGCTGGCATTTCCTGGACGGCACCTGGGGGAACTGCCCCAAACACAGAAATCTTTCTGTTTGGTTCTTTTTGGCGCTCTGCTCAGAAAAGGCCTCATGAAACAAAGGGCAGTGCCCAAACCCCTCAGGCAGCCCGTTGCAATGGCTGCTGTTTGCAGCCCCGTGCTCCTGTTGCTGTGCCCAGCTGCACCTCGCCTGTGTGGACCTCTGGGGGCCCACTGCCAGATAAAGACAGGAACAACCTGCACCAAAATGAAGCAACCCTCTCGTCTTCCTTCCTCAGCCTGACTAACCACAAGTGTCCGAGACAAACAACCACCAGCAGAGCAGCGTCACGCTAAGACTCACTCTGGGAGATTTAAACCAAATCCTGCAATCAGAGCTGCCCCGTTCGTGCGTAACCCTGAGGACGCGGGGTAAACCCAGATGACTTAAGGCCCCAGTTTACGCCGACTGGGTTTTTTACCAGTCCAGCTTTACTGGTACAGAGCGTGGTCATTGTGCAGCAGTTTTGCTGTGGAGAGCCCCAGGCTACCCATTGCTGTTCCCACAAAACCAGGTTCCCCAAAGCAGCGGGCACAGCACTCAGAAAAGCTTTCCCTCAGCAACAGGGCAGTAATGGCACTGCTGGGCTCTGGCCGACTCAAAGGGCCTCATGTCAGCACATAAACCCCTCCACATCTCATGTTAGTTGCTTACCATAAGCAGACCATGTCTTTCAAGCACAGGTTAAAATGAGGAACATCTATTTTTGTTTCTTTTTTTTTATGTCCAGTGAAACAAAAAAGGGCAGCCCATCTGTCACCAGAGGCCAGGGCTGCTCTAGACAACCCAGAGCTCCTTCTCGAGCCAGGCCAGCGACTGGGGCAGTGTGTGTCATTTTGAGCACGGGTCCATCACCCCATCCTGTACCCAGACCTGTCCCAAGCAGTTACTGCACACACCTGTTGGCCATTGCAAAGATTTAAAACCAAAATCCTTTATAAACAGCGTTTAGCACATGCCTATAAATGCATACATCACCCTACTGCTGCTGAGCTACGGAGAGGGCGAATTATTTTTAAGCTGAAGAAATACAATGATTTTTATAGGTAATCATGACTGAAGTCCAACAGGAGCAGATTTCAGCCAAAATCCATCTACAGAGCATTTCCAGGGAAAAGCTGTGCACAGATTTCAAGGCAGCACGTGCAGAGACAGCACGGTACCTAGAGCAGCACAGTCACCAGGGGAAGTGCACACCAGTGTAAGCAGGGCCTTTTCCCTGCCCCATTTATGTTGCTTCGGAATGGAGTTGAATTCAACTGGAGGTACTGGATGTAAATGGGCACCTCTGGCGCAGAGTAACAGGGCCCATGGGAGGACTCAATGGCATGGCTGTAACAGCCAAACTAAGTAGCCTTGGAGGCCAAAATAAGTAGCCAGCGTGGAGCTGGAGGAGCCCTTCCAGGCAGACACCTGCCCAGCAGCAGCAATCACCCAGAGGAGGCCTGGGCTGCCCCTGAGCTGCAGCGGCATCGCCAGGCAGGGGTTACAAAGGGCATTTCATGGCTGGTACGACAGAGGCAGCCGCACCGTACGAGCAGCAGACACACTTGTAAACATTCAGAAGGAGGCAAGCAAGCAGGGTGACTTACTGGAACAGTTACCTTTCTTTAGTAACACCACGGTGGCATCGCAGTTGCTGTTATCGTCCATTTCCGTGTTGTTCGCTAAACCGTTCACCATATTGGCGGAGTTTTTTGTCTTCCTTTCGAAGCAGTGATGTATGGTTGAGTTGTACCTGCACAAACCAAGCAAACTCTAGATGAACCTCGGCTCCTTCTATGTGGATTTATCGACACTTTTCCTTATTGGACTCATATCCTTTGCGATCCAACCAAAGGAGGGAAGAAAAGCCCTCTGGTTTTTAGGAAAAATCCAGCCACAGTATGCCAGAGCTCTAAATAAACTGCATACCATGCAGTCTCTCCATACCCAAAAGGTTAGGAAAGACACAAGCCATGAATCCTGAACGGCATGTATGCTTATGTACTACGTGTAATCAATACACTGCATAGCAAACGATGATTACTTGTCAGGGCCCAGTCTATTTTTTATCATGTAATCACACCCCAGCGTGAGTGCTGCTCTCCTTGTGAAGACCTAGCGCAGAAACACAAGTCCGTGCACTAAAAGAAAATAATCTCAGTTTCGTATTTAGAGTAGCCAGGAGCTGACACAAACATGAGCTGGGGATCTCACCACGATACTCAGAGGCAAGGGCAGACCACGGTGAACACCCGGCAAGGTCCCTGAGCAGGCTGACAGCCTCCCCTGCTGCACCCGAGCAGGTCTGAACCACCTGCTCACACCATGGAAAAACCCATTCTGGATTCAGACTCGACTGTCTGCTTCGCTGGTCAGTTAACTGATGCAAGGGTGAAGCTCCATGATAAAGTTTCTCATTATTAGGAGGCAGGGCCAGACCACGGTGAACCCCCGGCAAGGTCCCTGAGCAGGCTGACAGCCTCCCCTGCTGCACCCGAGCAGGTCTGAACCACCTGCTCACATCATGGAAAAACCCATTCTGGATTCAGACTCAACTGCTTCGCTGGTCAGTTAACTGTTGCAAGGGTGAAGCTCCATGATAAAGTTTCTCATTATTAGAAGTGAGATGAGTTCTGACTCGTGTTCCCTTCAACCCAGCCTGACTGCTTTGCTGTTCTCACTGAGAATTGCTCTCACAATATTTACTCGATTCATCATTTCAAAGCAAATCTCTGCTCTGACTTGTTGAGACAAGACCGCTGGTGTGCCTGGCAGATGGTAGGTGGTGTTGAATGTTCCAGTTTAAACCCGGGTTTCCTTTCCACTGGCTTTTAAAAACAAAGCAGGAGGAGGGGATCCAAAGTGCAGAGCAGATGAGCTTCGCTAGCACCAACTTGTGTGAAGGCAGGGTCACAAGCCTCGTGTGAAGGGTCACAAGTCTCATGTGAAGGCAGGGACACGAGCCTCGTGTGAAGGCAGGGACACGAGTCTCGTGTGAGGGCAGGGACACAAGTCCTATGCTCAGAAAACCAGTGCTGACTGTGCTGCAGTTTTATCACGGGTCTCCAAGCAAGAACAAACCACTGTGGAGTTTTGCACCCTTGCAAAAGCGAATTCAGGATGCCAAAGCAAAGCGAGAAGAGGCTGCTTTGGTGGGACTGAGACAGATTTGGGTCTCTGCTCTGCCACACACTTGCTGCCTTGGCCTGGCTGGTTCACACAGGGCGAGATCCGTAAAGCATCACCCACCTTTAGATGTCTGATGCTTGGATCTGTGCTACAGGGATAAGCAGCCCCTTCTTGCCCCACAGATGAGTGCACGGCAGGGCAAGGTGCTGTAACTCCTGGTACTGGAGGTGCTGCTGGCATGCACACTGGAGATGCAGCAGAAGCCCTGCCCGCAGCTCTTTAATGACCTCTGGAAAAGCCAGGGAGCTCCCTCTGGAGCAGGGAGCCTTACAACTTAAAGAAGCCGAGGGCGCGTTGACTTACTTCATGATAACGATGTAGATGATGTACATCAGCACGAGGACCAAGGACTCCCACCTGCAAACAAGAGCGACACGGAAAACAAATCAGAGCGGGGCACGGCCGTAGCCCCCCATCGCCACACCACAGACCTGCAGAAAGCCCCGACCCCTCTGGGCTGTCTGAACACACCTCTGGACAAGGGGACGCGTAAAGAAACGGCTCACACCCCCATCTGTGAGGCTGCCTTTGTTCTCGTGACTTCTGCTCTGGTTTTCCTTGGCCAAACCAACCCCTCAGCCAAGAACAAGTGACTCAGCCCACAGGTTCGGTGTTCAGGGAACAAATCGCGCACGAGGACACCGACAGGGCTGTAAGGACGACACCGGCACAGGCTGGGCAGAGCGAGGGGAGCAGCCCTCCTGCTCTGCCTGTGTGGGTGTAACTGAAAAGGACACTTCCAAAAGTGTCTGAAGCCCCCCTAGCCTACCATACCTGTGCAGTATATTTAAGCACGTTCATTATGATATTAACTGATATATTATTTTCACTCACTATATTGCCTTAGGAGCTTCTGTTTTTTAAGTTATTAAAAATCCAAATGTTAGGACACACTTATTTATGACTGCTTGGGCTGTTTGTTGCATTCGTTGCACTTTCCGCGCCCACTAAAGCGCAGCGATCCTGGGGGACAACCTGAGCCAGGGGCAGCTGCTCCTCCGCTGCTGCTGCTGCACCACCACCCAGAACGCAGCAGCAGCCGCAGTTCAAACACTGTCAGGTTTGTCTCACTGCTTCTGTGTCAAACCCATTAAACGTGCATGAAAACAAAACAGAAGATGGCTTGTAGAGCTTGTTTCTAGGTAACCTGTACTTGGCACTGGTGAGGCCACACCTCGAGTCCTGTGTTCAGTTCTGGGCCCCTCACTCTAAGAAGGATGTTGAGACTCTGGAGCGTGTTCAGAGCAGAGCCACAAGGATGGGGAGGGCTCTGGAGAACAAGCCTGATGAGGAGCGGCTGAGGGAACTGGGCTTGTTTAGCCTGGAGAAGAGAAGGCTGAGGGGAGACCTCATCACCACCTACAACTGCCTCAAGGGAGGTTGTGGAGAGGTGGGTGCTGGGCTCTTCTCCCAGGTGATGGGGGATAGAACAAGGGGAAACGGCACCAAGCTGTGCCAAGGGAGGTTCAGGTTAGAGAGAAGGAGGAAGTTCTTTCCTGAGAGGGTCGTCAGAAGCTGGAACAGGCTGCCCAGGGAGGTGGTGGAGTCACCATCCCTGGATGTGTTTAAAGAGCGGGTAGACGAGGTACTTAGGGATATGGTTTAGGGGGTAGACAGGAGCAGTTGGACATGATGATCTCAGAGGGCTTTTCCAACCCAGCGATTCTGTGATTAACCTTTTTAATGGACCAAAAAGCTGCATTCTGCACAGCTCCCTACAGCACACTGCTAGTCCTTGTGGAAATCACCCATTACCAGGCTGCTGTACACCAGCACCCATGGGCCACCTTCTCTTTAAGGATCCTGAGACACTGCACTAACCACACCAATATCTCATTCCCTGCTTCTGGCAGTTCAACACTTGGCTTCTGCACCGATGTGTTTTAGTTGAAGGGCACAGTCATGCACAATTGGGCCTTGAGTCAATTTTAGTTAAAAAAAAACCCAAAACGACAAAGAAAACCAAACCATTGCAAAACTCAGCGTCTCAGAAATCCTCCTCTGAAATTAAACATAAATCCCCCAGCGAGAACAAGTTTAAGAAAACATGCAACCCAAAAAGCCTGACTCCCCCTAGTGCTTGTAATCTAAATAATCTGGCTGTGAGTGCAATCAAAGCTACCACTGTCACTCTACAAGCCCCAGAGGTGCTGAGAACAAAACTATGAAAGCAAAACAACTGAAAGTACACTTTTAAAAGTGTTTGAAGCCTTCCTAGCCCGCTATACCAAGCACATTGATGGGAATATGAACATATACCTATTTTTTCTTTCTTTAAACTGGTCATTCACTCTTTTAACGTTGCCTTAGGACCTTTGTATTTTAAATTACTAAAAACCCAAATATTAGGACACACTTATTGATGACTGCTTGGGCGTTCCTGTGCACCCACAGGTGGTCAACACCCCTGGTGCACCCCAGGCGCAGCCTCTGCTGGGCTCATCCCCGGCTGCTGCTGGGTGGGCAGAGGGCACCCACTGCTGCTGCTCTGTCAGAAATCTGAGCAAAACCCTCCCAGGCTTTCCCCTCTGGCTCAGAGAATGAGTTATTCCGGCCCGCCTTGTGCCGAGGTTTCTCACGCAGCAGGAAACCGCTGTCTGAATCGCCCTGCAGAACTTTTTAGCTTCCCCTCCCTCTCCTGATGAGCCCTACTTATTGCAGCTTTTGTGGTGCAACCAGAAAAAAAATGAAAAGAAAAGGGACTCACGGCTGGATATACTTACCAGGAAACTTTTTCGTCATAAATAAACTGTGGAGAAAAGGTTTAAAAACAGGCATGTTATACAGGAAATCACAGCTGGAAACAGCTCTTCAGCCGAGCAGGGCACAGAGCACTGGCGCTGAGCTCTGCTGTGTTTCGGCACTGCCCTCCTGCCCAGCCCTCGGTCCCTTTTTCGTTCCCGCTCACCCCTGAAGGCAGGTTCTGCACCCCAGACCCCACGGCATCCTGGCCCGTCTGGGACCATCGCTGCAGCAGCGGTTACAGGGGAACCAGAGCACGGCAAAGGGCTGCGCCTGCCCCGCAGCACAGGGCTGCTCTCCCCTGAGGCACGGCCGCGTCCCCGGGCCCGCTCCTGGGTGAGCAGAAGCTCCACAGCTGTGGGAGGCTTTGCTGGATATAGACCGGGCCCGGGGCATTATTTCCT